ATCCGACAGCCCAGCCACACGGGAAACAGCCACGCTGCGCCCACGCTGGACGGGGCCCATAATCGAACTGATCTCCACAGAGCCCCTCAACGAGGGCCCGGAAACCAGCACGATGCCCCCACGATGCCCAGACATCCGTCCGGTCCGACCCACGGCCGACGCCACACCGATCCTCGCCAACACAATGGAGTACCTTCCGCGTACTGACATGATTCCTAGCGCCATGCAGCGAGCCATGCCTAGAGCCATGTCCGAGATCTTCATCGCCCACGCAAGTCGTCGCTGCGACACAAGAGGCATCACCGAGACTCACCTGTTCATGCGCCAAACGACCACCAGTACCACCTACGTATTACATCAGAGATATGAAACATATCTACCCACGGTCCACACCACACCCATCGTCGCCCACATAAGCGACTACCAACGGAGGATCGAACCGCCCAGCGCCTTCGATACAACTCTCTTACCCGAAGACCCCAGCCAGCCACCTGACTCCGAAATCGCCGATCCGACCGAACATGAGCCCGAACCAGTCCCGGAGCCGTGGCCGCCGGACTTGGCCCCGCAGATCCAAGCATTTACATTCGACAGACCCATCCTACCGAAAGACCCGAATCAAACCTTTGACCCCGGAGCCACCGAAGACGACCCAGAACTACCGACGGATCGTTGGCCACCCGACATAGCACCGCCGATTCAAGAATGCCTGGACAAGGAAGTACCGAAGAAAACCGCCGAGAAAACCATCGTCATATGGGATAATCGACCCACCAAGCAGACACCAACTACAAAGCACCCAGAACCGAAGAAAAACTTCCACGATCACAACAGCAGTAGAAAATATAACGTTACCGACGCCACGTTAAAGTGACGAGATTAACACCGACGAATCCAAAGACTCGGCACAAGCCCAAGGACAGGATAACCCGGTAAAAAGGCGATCCTCAGCACCCGCCAAGCGACGCCACTAATCTCTCCATCACCCACCCGGAAGAAAGGGGGGGTGTAACGAACCATGGTTCTACCCATGGCTCGATACAAACAACTCCCACAGCGACACCTCCACGGTAGGCAGCAACCAAAATTCAACTAAAATATGCAGAACAGAAGAACCATGGCTCTAGCCACGGTTCTCCACCAATAGCGGTGTGTCAGCACCCCGGAAATAAAATAGTCTTAAGCAACGCTCACAATTAATTAAGAACTCTCGACCAACAACTCTACACATTTTTGTCCACACAACAATTTAAAACACCCCACCTCTTGGGACATTTTGCAATCGACGGCCTACATAAGAAATATCATTTGCGTTATTTCACAACAAGTCAAGCTAGCATAAAATTATCGACCTACCGACCCAAATTCAGATATCACCTTTCCCAACTGCAACTGCACCTTCCGGGATGCAGCCTCAGCAAAAACACACTGCCCCACTAACAATTGTCAACGAAGCACCCAGCTTCGACCCACTTACTAGCCCCACATTTATTGTCGTAATCATAAGTCAGCAAGAATTAATTATTTCCGGGTCTCAGGTGCGATCGCCAGCTGCATAAAAGGGCCAAGATCGGCCGAAAGAGTAGGCAGTCCATCAGCCCGAACACAAGACACTGCACTAGGCAGTCCATCAGCCCGAACACAAGATACAGGCAGTCCATCAGCCCAAACACAAGACACTGCACAAGGCAGTCCCTCAGTCGCACACCCAAGACACTGTACTACGCAGTTCCTCAGTCACACACCCAAGACACTGCACAAGGCAGTCCCTCAGTCACACACCCAAGACACTGTACTACGCAGTCCCTCAGTCACACACCCAAGACACTGCACTAGGCAGTCCCTCAGCCCAAACACAAGACACTGCACAACGCAGTCCACCAGCGCACCATACAACTACAAGCCAGAGTAGCAACGTAAAGGAATTAAGTGAATGAATAAATACTGAATAATACAAGAACCACAAAAACTCCCGCATCATCACTTTTCGCTTGCCTACTGCATTTTTCAAGCCAGCCCGACACCTGAAGTCACCTACAAACTACAAATTGTCTTGTAGCGAAAATTTCTCTGCGGAATCCTATATCTTTTGTCTCAAACTCCGTTGCCTCTCCATTCATCAGACTTCTCAGACAACCTTCGTTGATTCTCTTATCGTTTCTACATGTATAAAGTTTCCTAATTTGTTGGCATTTGTTCTTATAATTATACATTTTGTTGTTGTTATAAGCTACAAAATTAGGTGCTATTACAAATTCTGTCTTATTTATGGGTAATGGCAGTATTCTTTCAGTAAATACGTTTTTTTCTTAAAAATTGGTAGGCTTATTGAAAATATTATGTCGGTACCATTCATTATAGCCTTTAGCTCTAAAAATTCATACATGTGTTCCTCTGATGATATCTGCACTCTTTGGTCCTCTAAATTCTGTGTAATTCTCCGTGATTCTTCTTTATTTAATATGAACTTGGGGATTATTCCTACCCTTGCTTCCGTTACTTCGTTAAGGTTCAATGCTATCATGTCTATCGTGATTGAAATTCTGTCAATGTATTCTATCCTATAAATTCTTTTTTCTTCTTCCACAAATGTTTTACTTATCCCGTTTTTATAGTTGTTAACAAAAGAGTTTACCCTAACCTGCTAACCTTCGTTAATATGTTGTGTTTTAAACATTATAATGAACCTATTTTCCATGTTCTGCTGTGTACTTATTTCTTCATTCAACTTTCTCTCCTCTTCCTGTACTCTTCTGATCTCCTGTTCTAATTTTTCCGCATCTTCTGCATCTAGATTTCCTGTGATTGCCTTTACTACCGAACCTAATCCGTTAATCAATCCCCTCTTACTTCGCTTCTTGGGAGATATCGTTTCTATTTTTCCTTTTACCAGATCCAATTTGTTTTGAAGGGCCCTGACTAAATCGTTTGTTTCACTATCTTCTTGTATAGTCCTGAGCGTTTGCTCCAAATGGCCAACGCTCTTTACATATTCCTCTAGTCGGACTATGTGTATGAAGGTTTTATATGTTTGTATTACCCTGGGTGGTCCTAATGTGATTTGCGCAATAGGCTCATCCTTTTTAAACTCCCTGATTTCAAACGTTCCTTTCGTCTCCATCACTGCAACCCATCTGAAATTATTATTGATCATTAGTTTTGGTCACTTTTCTAATTTTCTCATGTGAATTTTCTGTGGTTTTGTTGTGTTTATCATTAAATTATTGTCGGTTGCTACTTTATGTGTGGTGAACCTTGGTATTAGCTTGTCCCGCCTATTTTCTTTTCTAAAAATCGTGTCGTTGGTGTTTACTTCTATTGGGTCCTGCCTATCTTCGTTTGCTGATTTTATTCTTTTAATCTTTTGTTCTTCTACCCTTTCCTTTACTCTTGGGTATATTTCGTTAATTTTTTGGAGATAATCGTGCTCGTTACTGAATGCCACGTTACCCATAAAATTGTGCGTTCTTCCAGTGAACAGCTCGTGTGGCGTAAACTTTGTTGCCGAATGAATCGAGTTGTTGTATGTAATAAATGCTTCCTTCACTATATCTTCGTGTTTTCCTTTTTCTCCACTATTATTATCCTGTAAATTTCTGTTATTGTTGAATGCAATCTTTCGACTGTTGCATTGCTCGAGGATTGTTGAAAGGATATTGTGTGCAGTTCTATCTCATATTGCTTACAAAAATCCTTAAACAGATTGGAAGAAAATTCCACCCCTTGATCGCAAACTATTTTACTAGGGATCCCGAAAAGCGCCATAAAGTCCCTCAATGATGTGACTACGTTTATGCTATCCCTAGCTGGAATTGTGTATCCCCACGCATACCTGGAGAATTTATCGATGACCGTTAAGACGTACTTTTTGTTTACAAAGTATAAATCTATATGCACTATTTGCATTGGTTTGGCCGGGGTTTCTGTTACACTTGTGGTAGGATAACCCCTATCAGCCCCTCTCTATAAGATTAACCCACTGCCAATACGGCAGCACTATCGCATATGAATAACCCCTAAATATAAGGTCACACTAGAGAAAAGACGGAATATACGGCCTCCAGAAAAGACGCTCGGGCATTCGAAAAGAGGCATTAAGAAAAGTAAGACGTGTGCGGCGTAATAAAGAGATACAAAAGTGCATACTCTTGTTTTACTCTCACAATCTCAGAAGTGGGCCTTACTCACAATGTGCGACTTCGAACCAAATCAATTCTCGTCAGCGCAACTAAAAAGGTGGCTGGCTGGACTTGGGCTACCAACTCAAGGCTCCAAAGCCGAACTGATCGCACGCGTAAGCGCAATTTCACCAAACGCACGCGGCGACCCACCAGAAGGTTCGATCGACCAAGTGGAACATCAACAGGCGGCAGGCGAAGCACCAGTTTTAGCGTCGTCGGTCGAGGAAGAGGCAACACCATCAACTCGAGGCATGCAGGAGAAAAATATTCCAAGCATGGGACAGTGGAGCACGGTGGAAGCAGAGTACGTCGCTCTGATGAAATTGCGCGCAGACATTGAAGCAGGAAAAAAACATGCTGCGGCAAATCCATGACGAAATAAACAAGATCGTTCATGTCGGCCAATCCAATGACGTCATCGACGAAGACAACGACTCAGTTAACAGCGACAACGATAACAGTGCTACAGTTAACAGCCCCGAAGTTAACAACACCGTTTGCGCTAACAGCACCAATGTTAATAGCGGCCCGGACACCAGTAATGGAAAAGATGACAATTCAGACGGTGTTGCAAAACGTCAAGACACAAATGTAAACAACATATGCGAATCTCCGACAGCATCGCTTACGTTAGCAAAGGAAGTGACTATGGAATACGACGGGACACAGTGCGCCAAAAACTGGGTCATACAGGTGAAGAACATTGCCCAAATCTACAAACTGGACAACATTACTAAACGAATGCTGCTGATTGCCAAGCTCAAAGGAAACGCTCAGCACTGGCTCCATGCAGATTCCTCGCGCATCTTGGAATCAGCTGATCACCTGTGCGAGCAATTGATCGTGGCATTCGGGGCAACCATCACCAAAGGAGAACTCAGAGACAGGTTCCATAAGCGCCAATGGCTTTATGGAGAAAATTTTGCCACATACTACGAAGAAAAAATGATGTTGGCCAGGAACATCAACATAGACATAGAAGAATTGAAAGAGAAGATAATCGAGGGAATTCCGTCCCCGGGCTTGCGAGATCAGGCTCGCATTCAGTGCTTCTCCGATCCGAAGCAGATTTTGCGTGCTTTTTCGGAGATTCGCCTTCCGGAGCGTATGCAGCATGCCACATCATCACAAGGCCTGGCAAATTCTTCGGCGACCAAGGACCTACGTTGCGCCAACTGCAACTCGCGAGGTCATTTCGCCAAGGACTGTCTCAAACCAAAAAGGGAGCCTGGATCCTGCTACGCCTGTGGGGTATTTGGACATCTGGTCGGACAATGCCCGGAGAGGAAGAGCGTAACATACAATAATTATGTAAGATACTGTAAGATTTTCTTTTGCAACAACATTGTAACACCATTAATTTCAGCGTGCCTCATAGACTCTGGCAGTCCCATATCGTTCATCAAGAAAAGTCTAATCTCTAGAGAAATTCGTTTGGAACCAGTTTTGGAATTATATTTTGGGCTTAATAAAAGCCAATTGAAAACACTTGAAAAAATTTTATGTTATGTTTTGAAAGGAAGAATAAAATGCTATTTTTATTTGAACGTAGTGTCGAACGAGTCTATGAGTCATGGTGTGGTTCTTGGCAGAAATTTTATGAATGCATGCGACTTAAACTTGGACTTAAGTACTTTAAAAATGGTTACGTTAGACGCTTTGAATTCGGAAGCCAATGATCATTTAAGTGAAAATCCAGCAATTCCGATTGAAAATGATAAAATGCAAATCAAAACGGTTGGAAAACATACTAGTATAATTAGTAGTACAAAGAGTAGAGAAAATTCAGATAAAATAGTTATAGATGAGGTAATCAAAATAGATAATGGTAATGAAATTGTTAGTGATACCGTTAGTGAGGAAGTTAGTGCAATTGTTAGTGAAACCGTTAGTGAAGGAGTTAGTGAAATTGTAAGTGATACTATTAGTAAAGAGGTAAACGAAATTGTTAGTAAAACCGTTAGTAACGTTGTTAGAGAAACAGGAGTAATTAATGAAATGTTTGCTGAAGAGTTTAGCGATTCTACCAGACCAAAAAATTCTAAAAATAAAACACTCAATTCGATAAATAACGATGCGATGGTTATGAATGAAATCCTTAAAAACAAAGCTGATGACACATACAATGATATTATTGTTCCAGACATCTTTAATATCAATTATATGGAAGATGAAAAAGTTGATTACATCTGCGGGGAGAACATAAGTCATAGGCTTAAGTGTCAACGAAGGCAAATAATCGAAGACTATTACGTAAAGACGGTAAAACCAAAAGAACCTTTAGTCAAATGCGAGATAAAACTTAACTTAGAGAAATCAAAACCTTTTAGTTGTGCTCCAAGGCGCCTATCATATACCGAGAAAGATAAACTGCAAACATTGTTAGATGAATACGCTTCACCTATCGTACTAGTCAAAAAGAAAACGGGGGATTTAAGGTTGTGTATAGACTTTAGAAAACTCAACAAGACCTTGATTAAGGACAACTATCCCATACCCCTCATCGATGATCTGCTGGACAAATTAGCCAACAAAAGAGTCTTTACGAAACTTGATCTCAAAAATGGTTATTTCCATGTATTCGTTAATGAGGAATCGATTAGATATACATCGTTCGTGACACCTTTAGGACAATTCGAGTTCCTTAGAATGCCACAGGGACTGAAAACGGCATCAGCCGTGTTTCAGAGGTTTGTTAATAAAATATTCGATGATTTAATTAGGGATGACAAAGTTATTGTATATATGGACGACATCATGGTAGCCAGCAAAGATACGCAGGAACACTTAGAAACGCTAAAAGAAGTCTTTATTAGGTTGGCTCAAAACAAATTAGAATTGCGTATAGACAAATGTGAGTTTTTACAATCTAATATCAAATATCTGGGGTTCACAATCAACGGACAAGGTATAAGGGCAGATGAAAAAGGATTAGAAGCAATCAAAAACTTTCCAATCCCGAATAAGATACAGGTGGTACAAAGTTTTCTTGGCTTATGATCCTATTTCAGGAGATTTATTTTAGCACTTTATAATCATAAAGACGAGATAGAATTGCATTGTGATTCAAGCGCTCTTGGTTTCGGGGCAGTGCTACTTCAGAAGAAAGACGACGGAAAACTGCATCCAATCTTTTATTTTTCTAAGCGTACAACTGCAGCGGAATCAAAATATCACAGCTTTGAGCTGGAGACAATGGCAATTATTTACGCACTACGCAGGTTTCTCATATATTTATATGGAAAACGTTTCAAGATCGTTACTGACTGTAATTCACTAACGCTAACGCTCAACAAAATTGAGCTCAACCCGCGTATTGCTAGATGGGCTTTAGATCTGCAAAGTTATGATTATGAGCTGAGCCATAGAGAAGGCAGCACGTAGCAGCACGTAGATGCGCTAAGTAGATGCACAAACATTCTCATTGTAGAAACAAACACGTTTGAAGACAACTTAGTTATTTGCCAAGCCAAGGACCAAATAGTTAGAAATATCAAACAACAGTTAGAAGAAAATGAACACAAGTTTTTTGAAATGAGAAATGGTGTAGTTTACAGGAAAAGCAATGACGGAAGATTATTATTCTATGTTCCAACCGAAATGGAAGATCACGTGTTATACAAATATCATAACGAATTAGGACATATAGGCAGAGACAAAATGATGAATATAATAGGCAAAAGCTATTGGTTTCCAAACGTAAAAGAAAAATGCTCCGGTCATATTGAAAATTGTTTGAAATGCGTAGCGTTTTCGCCTAAAACAGGAAAAGAAGGATTTTTACACTCCATTCCAAAAGGAAATAAGCCATTTGAACTAATCCACATCGATCACTACGGTCCGGTTGATTCAGGAAGATCAAAAAAGCACATCTTAGTAGTAATTGATGCTTTCACAAAGTTTGTGCGCTTATATGCAACAAAAACAACGAATACACGGGAGGTCATCGCTTCGTTAAAAGACTATTTTAGAGCATACAGCAAACCCAAATGCATAATTTCAGATCGAGGAAGTTGTTTCACATCAAACGAGTTCGATGAGTTCTTGACAGAGACTGATATTAAACACACTAAAATCGCAACAGGATCGCCACAAGCGAATGGTCAGGTGGAAAGAGTCAACAGAAGCATTGGACCAATGATAGCAAAATTAGTGGAGCCAGAAAAGGGTATACATTGGGATGTAGTGATAGACAAAGTAGAATATGCATTAAATAACACGCAGCATCGAAGCACAAAACAAGTTCCGTGTAAACTATTATTCGGCATAGAACAGAGAGGAAAAATAGTAGACGAATTAAAAGAAAAACTAGAACAGTTGAATGATGTACAAGAAAGCAAAGATTTAACAGAACTAAGAGAGGAAGCGGCGAAAAATATAGAAATAGCCCAAGCATACAACAAAAAGCAACATGACAAAGAAACCGAAAGAATATAAAGAAGGAGACTATGTGATGGTAAAAAATTTTGATTGCACAGTAGGAGCATCTAAAAAATTAATTCCCAAAAACAAAGGGCCTTACGTAATCGAAAAAGTATTAAGAAATGACAGGTTTTTGTTAAAAGACGTAGAAGGTTTTCAAGTATCCCGTAACCCGTATCAAGGTGTTTGGAGTATTCAAAACATAAAACACTGGATAGGCAATAAAAATAAATGTTAATATATAAGTAAAACTGTAATATACTAAGTACAAGAAAAAACTGTAAACTATTGTAAAACTCCCGTATATCTAAGTGAATCAGGTGATCCAACAGTCAGGATGGCCGAGTTGTGGTAGGATAACCCCTATCAGCCCCTCTCTATAAGATTAACCCACTGCCAATACGGCAGCACTATCGCATATGAATAACCCCTAAATATAAGGTCACACTAGAGAAAAGACGGAATATACGGCCTCCAGAAAAGACGCTCGGGCATTCGAAAAGAGGCATTAAGAAAAGTAAGAAGTGTGCGGCGTAATAAAGAGATACAAAAGTGCATACTCCTGTTTTACTCTCACAATCTCAGAAGTGGGCCTTACTCACAATGTGCGACTTCGAACCAAATCAATTCTCGTCAGCGCAACTAAAAAGGTGGCTGGCTGGACTTGGGCTACCAACTCAAGGCTCCAAAGCCGAACTGATCGCACGCGTAAGCGCAATTTCACCAAACGCACGCGGCGACCCACCAGAAGGTTCGATCGACCAAGTGGAACATCAACAGGCGGCAGGCGAAGCACCAGTTTTAGCGTCGTCGGTCGAGGAAGAGGCAACACCATCAACTCGAGGCATGCAGGAGAAAAATATTCCAAGCATGGGACAGTGGAGCACGGTGGAAGCAGAGTACGTCGCTCTGATGAAATTGCGCGCAGACATTGAAGCAGGAAAAAACATGCTGCGGCAAATCCATGACGAAATAAACAAGATCGTTCATGTCGGCCAATCCAATGACGTCATCGACGAAGACAACGACTCAGTTAACAGCGACAACGATAACAGTGCTACAGTTAACAGCCCCGAAGTTAACAACACCGTTTTCGCTAACAGCACCAATGTTAATAGCGGCCCGGACACCAGTAATGGAAAAGACGACAATTCAGACGGTGTTGCAAAACGTCAAGACACAAATGTAAACAACATATGCGAATCTCCGACAGCATCGCTTACGTTAGCAAAGGAAGTGACTATGGAATACGACGGGACACAGTGCGCCAAAAACTGGGTCATACAGGTGAAGAACATTGCCCAAATCTACAAACTGGACAACATTACTAAACGAATGCTGCTGATTGCCAAGCTCAAAGGAAACGCTCAGCACTGGCTCCATGCAGATTCCTCGCGCATCTTGGAATCAGCTGATCACCTGTGCGAGCAATTGATCGTGGCATTCGGGGCAACCATCACCAAAGGAGAACTCAGAGACAGGTTCCATAAGCGCCAATGGCTTTATGGAGAAAATTTTGCCACATACTACGAAGAAAAAATGATGTTGGCCAGGAACATCAACATAGACATAGAAGAATTGAAAGAGAAGATAATCGAGGGAATTCCGTCCCCGGGCTTGCGAGATCAGGCTCGCATTCAGTGCTTCTCCGATCCGAAGCAGATTTTGCGTGCTTTTTCGGAGATTCGCCTTCCGGAGCGTATGCAGCATGCCACATCATCACAAGGCCTGGCAAATTCTTCGGGGACCAAGGACCTACGTTGCGCCAACTGCAACTCGCGAGGTCATTTCGCCAAGGACTGTCTCAAACCAAAAAGGGAGCCTGGATCCTGCTACGCCTGTGGGGTATTTGGACATCTGGTCGGACAATGCCCGGAGAGGAAGAGCGTAACATACAATAATTATGTAAGATACTGTAAGATTTTCTTTTGCAACAATATCGTAACACCATTAATTTCAGAGTGCCTCATAGACTCTGGCAAAAACACACTGCCCCACTA